GATTCTCGATTTTCTTTTATATTATTCCATTTTCCTGTTACAGAACCATTAGTTTGTGATTTTAATGTTGTATGACTACAATTTCCGCTTTTAATAAATTTATCTCTTTCTATTTCATTTGTATCAAAATCATTGACAGATCTGTAATTTTCATTCAAAATATTAATAAATTTTTTATTATATTATAAAATAGATAAAATAGATAAAAAATATATATAAGTACAAAATTTGATTATATTCAAAATAATTTATATGATGTATAATTAATTAATTTCAAATGTATTGTTACTTACCCAATTCTTTCAATAAATTGTATATCATTGTGATTAATAGTATTTCCATTTGCATGTATAAATTTTTTATCATTTTTATCAGATTGTGATATATTTGTTACATTATGCTTATTGTGTTGTTCTTCTTGTTTCTCACCTTTATCTAAAGATTTTCTGTGATTATTTTTTGTTGTTACATTTTGATTTGTTGATGTAATTTGTGTACCTATATGCAAACTGCCATTTTGTATACCTGTTTCTACGGAATTACTACTGTTTCCTATAATATATTTAATTATTAAATTATATTTTACTTTTAATATTATAAATATATTAAAGTTGAAAATAAATACAAACTACCTCTACTTTTTTCAGGACTTGGATTACATTGTGAATTTAATTTATTATTTTGTGATTTAACATGTTGTTCTAATGTAGTAATATGAGATTGTGATGAAACTTGTATTGGTTGTATTGTAGTAGAGGTTTGTTGCTCTAAGGGCAGTGCTTGCTGCAATAGTTGTAAATAGAACTCATTTTCTTTTGCTACATCTTTTTGTTTTCTCTGAAAAAAAAAAAAAATTCATATATAAAATCAATCTCAAAATAATTGATATTTATAAATTTACCTGTCTCATTCTGTAGCCGATGTAGCTCTTAAAGCCAAAACCTAATGTAACTACAGGATAACCAATGCTAAAAAAAATTATATCTTAAAATTTTTATTATTACTTTTATGTTGATATTATTTATTATTTATTTATTAAATATAGTAATAATAAATTTTAATAATTTCTGTTTTAATTATAATTATATATTATTTGACAATAAGTTCCATATTTTTGTTTTAATTATAATAATCTTACTTTTATATATACTAACAATTTATTATTATTATTTCTTTATTAGTTAAATTGTTAATTTCTAATTCTTAAACTCATTTTTTTATATTTTTCAAGTTCTGTTTATTAAAATATGAATAAAGATGTAATAAGAAAAAAATATATACCAATGTGCTGCAAATGGTCGACAGAGATCCAAATGAAAAGGCATATGTCGTAAATCTCTTAATCGAACTGCTGCTTCTATATATAGAAATAGTAACCATAGCATCACAGTCGGTAGGCACACACCTTTATCTATTTTACATATATATTTATACATTATTTTTATTATAATTATTTCTTATCAAAATAATTTAAAAGAAAAAAATTTATATTTACCTGTATGCCAAACATATTGTACCCAAACATAAGTGCTAGCAGCAAAAAATAACCAATGTACTGGTATGAAAAAGAAACAAATCATATCTGATGTAAGAGCAATACAAATAAAAAATACAGAGAAGGCCTGAAAACATAATTTACATTTTAAAATTAAATATATGTATTATATAAATTTTCTTTGCTTATTACTTACCAAGCCTTGATATTTAAAAGAATCGTAAACACTTCTGAGTAGTAGCCAAAATGGCCATAAAAATTCAAATCGAAATTCTAAAATGAAGTCTGCCAAAATTACCATGGCCCATAGTAGAAGAAATTTTAAATAAAGTAATGTACTGAAATAAAAAATATTATTTCATTATTCTTTATATTCTATTATAAAACAAACAAAATAATACATATAAATATTGAATCATTAGTTTTGAAATATCTACAATTATTATATATACTGAAATATTTTTAATAAAAAATATTTAAAAAAAACAAACATTACAAAATATATATTTTCAAACAAAACGAAATAAAAACTTTAAAATATAAAATTATACAAATGATTTTAATTACATAATTATGATAATATAACATAAATTAATATGTTAAAAAAAAAATAAACTAAAATTCATAATATTTATAAATTTATACAATTATGTGTAAAAAAACTATATTACAAATTAAGTAAAAAAATATAATATAAAAAACATATAATTAAAAAACAATTTCAAGAAAATAATTTAACAAATTATTTTCAAAACAAGCACACATGGTCAAGGTTTTAGTAAATGTCAAGTATATCACACAGTTTCTGGAAAGCGGTCGACAATCACATACTGATACAAAGCATCATAGAAGTTTTTACACTCCATAAATTGAAAAATATAACAATATTTGATTAATAGTTCAAAAGTATTTCAAGAGATGATTCGTTAGATTTTTGGTTATTTTTAAAATTAGCTATTCCAATGAGAGAAGACATATGGCGGCGAAAATTTACCTTCCGTAGATTCCCTCGGTGAGCTTGTTGCGTTTCAAGGGCCTCCGAAGCTTACCGCACTCGACATTTCTTCTCTTCATATTCCTTGACACTTTCACTACAACCAAAACGATGTTATTCGCGGCGAGCAACAAAATGGAAAAAACCGCAAATTTTCTGCGGAATTGTGAAAAAATCCACTGTCTCGCGCGCGACTTCTATCAGCCTCTTTTGTTGTCATTCGTCTGCGGACAGATTCGAGCTTTTACGGCGGTTTACCAAGCAGCTGATTGGTCCATTGTAGGATATGGCGCTAATCACCCGCAAAAATCACCTGCTTAGATATTTATTTTACGATGTACTTAAAATTGATATATATATCTGATATATATTTCGTCTTCTATAAGAAATAAATCTTTCTAACTATATAACAATTTTCACAGAAAATGTTTCTAGATTACATGCTTTATCGATCATACATGTTTTCGATTGTACCATAGGTCAATCGACTTGTTTCACTTACGTTAACAGCGCTCTGACCTAGCGATATATGAACTATCTTTCTCTTTCATTTTCTTTATCTCTATTTTATTCCCTTTCTCTTTGTTATATGATATATTTTATTTTTTTTGTTTTAATATATTAATAATTTTTTAAATTTTCCAATCTCTTTTATCTATATATAATAAATATATTTTTTTTATCATTTCTATTATATATTTTTATTATCTCTATATAATTTAGTTAGAAAGATTAAAATATATATCTTTTTCAAAAAAATATTAAATCTATAATATTAATATAGATATTAATAATCAGAAATATATAGTGGAAACGAAAGTATTCGAATGTTTATATTTGTAATTTTTAATGAACGAAATATACATCTCAAAAGAATTTGTTTAAGACAATGAGAGATATATAGTAGAAAAGAAATCTCAAAATTATATCAGCATAATTTGAAAATGATTATCAATTTTTGCAGTAATTATAATATATTTATTATATACACGCACTATTAATAGGTTAGAATTGATACATTGTTGATAGTTTTTATTTTAGCTAGAAATATGAATACTGATACTGAATATTGAGAGTATTTTTATGTTCAGTTGATATCAAGATATCGTTCCATTAACAATAACATAAAAGTGTGCAATAAATTATCGTGAAACATAGATATATCTTTTTATACATAATATATTAATAATAATATATATGTAAAATATATTATAATTTGTCAAATAAATGAAGAAATTAGATTATTCATATAAATTGCATTATTGCAAGTATTATAACAGGAATATATTCAAATGTAATAAATAATAATACAATTTTTCACAATTTTATTTTTGGTTTACTTTTTTACTTTATAATATTAAAAATTATTGCTATTTTATCAATATTGTATCAATATACTTGCAATATAAATATTATGGTTACAAAAAAAAGTAATTTGAAATTTAATGAAAATATTTTAAAGTTTATATTAAACTTGATAATTTTTATTATATTAACTATGATTAAATATTATTATTTTTATAATTACATTAAATTATTTGATCTATTAATATGGATATTATTACAAATTATAAATTTTAATAAATGGAAGGAAAAAAATATTCATGATATTAATTCAATACAAGGTTTGGATTATGGAACTGGACTAGCATACAGCTATTATTATGGATATTTAAAAGTTATACTTCCTTCAACTGGCAGTCTTAATAAAGGATTAATTGAGAAAATAGAAAATACTGAAGATATACATAATATAAATATAACGGTCCATAAACTATTTATTTTGATTCCTTCATCATCATATATTCCACCTGATCTTAAAGAAGCTTCATATCAATGGATGGAAAGTGCAATGGATTTGGAAGATGAAGTACGTAATCGAGCAGGAGTAAAAAGGAGATCATATCACAATAGTGTATATAAAATTTATCCTAATGGACAAAGATCAAATGTACCTCAATATATAGTGGTAGAAGGTGCAACACCTTTATTAACTTTTTTTGAAGTTCAAAAACACAGTCATTCAGAAACAAATATATATAAGAAATATTGTAAGGAAATTGTACAGAAATTTTATATAAAATTACAAGAGCTAATAGATAATGATCCAGAATGTGCAGATCTTTGTGAATTAATTTATTATGATGATTATGATTGTAATAAAACTAAGATTAATATTGCAAAAATCTTATTAGAAAGATTATCAAAAATTAAAACATAAATGTAAAAAATAATACACCAAAATTTTAACATATTCTAAAAATATAAAATATTTTCAGTCATTATAATTTTGCAGAAATAAACAACTACATTACCAAAATATCATTTATTTATTGTAGTACAAATATATATGAAAATTAGTTATAAAATAACGTGTTTAATAATGCAAATTTGGATGTACTAATTTAAATTTTTTTATCATCTTTATTAGCAAATATGATGATCAAATGCAATGAATATAACTATATCAATTATATTTAATATTTCTCAATTATATTATATAAACACTTATTTAAGGCCCCTGATAGTATATATTTATACAAAAATGCTATTTTGCTAATATATTTTTGTATGGTTACATTGATTATTACTACTTATTAAAATTGCTGGCACATTATGAATATATTTTTATCACAATTTGTTACATGTCCATTTCAAATTGTTCTGCAGATTCTTCAATTACTGGGGTGTCTGTAAGATTAATAAAATCATAATGTATAATTTTTAATATATTATATATTATATAAATTATTAATATATATATTTAAATGAATCTTTTTAACATTTAAAAAATAGAGTAGATCTTATCACATCATTAATTATTAGTTTTTAAATAAATAAATTAAAAAAATAAATAATTTAAATATATGTGCATATATATGCATGCGTGTGACAAATGAATAAAATATATAAATTCTAACCTTTGATAATTTGATTTTTTACTGATGTCAAAGGATTTGGTGATGTATGTTTCAATAATTCTCCAGGTATAGATGGCATATTTCGTGGTGGTGTTCGTGATATAGGAGAATTTCGTAAATTCATTAAAAAGTCACGTTCATAAACAATACGAGTACCTGCACAATTTTTATACTTTATCTTTTATAATTATTTACAAAATGAAATTTTTTAGGATTTTTTAGGATTTTTTTTTAAATTCTAATTATACTATAGTAATTTTTTATAAATACTAAATTTAATAATTTTTTTTAACAAATTTTGTTTAAAATAATATTTTTATAATGATTATTTTTTATTTTACAATATTTTTTTTTAATTTAATTGATTTAAATATATAAAAATAAATATGCTAATTATAAAATATAAATATCAGAAATTTATGTATTATAAATTAAAGATTTAATTTTTTATATTTTTACAAAAATAAAAATTAATAATTAAAATTTAATTAGACTTGTTTATTTTTAAATTACATTAAATAAACAATTATATTTACCAAGCTCTGAGAATGTAATGTAAGATCTTAAAAAAGTTACTAGAATATATAAATATAATATATATATTTTATAATACTCTACAAGAATATAAAAAGAATAAATTTAAAAATAAAAATATATTAATATTTATTTATTAATATTTAATAAAATTATTATATTTTATAATAGAATGTAAAGCATACAATGTTTATATCAAAATTCATAAATATAATATTAATAATTACATTAATATATAATTAATACAATAATTAATATTTTTCTAAAATTGTTTGTTCACTTTTGTTATGATTACTCAAAAATTATTAAAGAAATTTATTTTCAAATAAAATTATTATTAATCAATTATTTATTAATCTATATTGTACTATTGTATGAAATATACTAAAGTTTTGATTAAGTATTGATTATTAAAAAAAAATATTACATTAATAATAACATAAGAAAAAAAAGACACTGACCTCCAGGCGTAGTTGAAAAAAGTGTTCCACCAGGGGTGGATGAATAATCATTAGGTAATTGACTGGGATCATTAATAACGATTCGTTTCGAAGGTATGTTTTGACTTTGGGTAGCTTGCCTTGCAATCGGTGATGCGGACATACTTGATCTTTCAGTTTCTTTGAAAATAAAAATAATTTTTATTTAAGATAATGTGTTTAAACAACATAAAAATAAAATCTGTAAACGATTCATTATTACTGTTGACAAATAATTTTACTGCGTAATTTATGAAAAATAATGGACTGTGAACTCGACTTGTAAGCATAAATATAAACAGTCATTAAATGAAAAAGGAACAAAAAATCGTTTTTTTCCAAATTTTACATTATATTCATTCTCACTAGTTTAATCAGTTTAAATATTTTACATTTACAATAATCTGAATTAAGTATAAACAAAGTATAACATACGTGTAACCTAAAAAATCGAATCACGAACGAACACAACAATTCACAAAAGTCTCACCATACGATAAGTGATTGTTTTATATAAGTTCACAAGTTCTCCCCACTCCTAAAATACTACAGAAAAATGCTATCTAAAGCATTAGCAATCATTGGCGCGAACTATCGTATTATCATTGTACTAAATTCAAGTACAATAATTAAATATTCAAATATTGTAATACAATTTTTTATTTTTTAAAATTATATTTATACAACTTCTATATTAAAAGTTTAAAATTTCATGAATTTATATAATATAAATTTTTATAACGTAGCATATTGATTTCTATTTTTATTAAATGATCTTTTATCAAGAAAAAAAAATATAAATTTTTACAAATTTTCATCATTTTTGATTAAAAAAATTTTAATAAAATTTTAATAATATATATTATATTCTTCAAAAATTTAATTTTTTCTAAAAAATTTATTTAATTATAAAAAAATATATTATAATTAAAATGCAATATATATATTGTTAAACAATATAAAAAAAACTATTAAAGCCCATCATATTTAAAAAATAAAATATTTATTTTTAATTTTTTTTTATAAGCATATTTTAAGTTGTAAAATGTACATTTTATGGAATAAAAATTTATATCTTTTTTATTCTTACGATTTTATTTTTCT